AAGTGGGAGGATCATCTGAGTTCAAGACCAGCCTAATCAACATGGCAAGACCCCCGTCTCTATTATATTAAAAATTAAAATAAAACAAAAAAGCTAGCCAAGGCAATATCAGGAGATGTCTGAGTGGATCACCTAGATGCCAAACACATTTCTTCCTGCTCCCATGATGAGGCAACAGTTCTGGTTCACCTTGCCACTAGAATCCTTGCCTGGGATTCTAGTCCTGGCAGGAGGGACCCTGGAGAACTTCCTCAGTGGCCTCCAAATAAACCCCTCACCTCAGTGGGGCAGCCCACAGCCAATGACTGACTGAGGCAGAGATTAAAAAAAAAAGGCTGCCTCATTTGCCCCAAAGGAAGGACTCAGCACATGGCCTATGCTCCAGAGCCTTCCCCTGTGAAAGATCCTGAGAGGTCTAAATCTTTGTGAGCGAGCATCCTTACTTGGCTCTTTCTCCTCTCCTCTCCTCTTCCTCCCTCTCTCCCTCCCTCCCTTCCTTCCTTCCCTCCCTTCCTCTTGCTTTCTTGCTTTCCTGCTTTCTTTTTTTGACCGAATCTCCCTCTGTTGTCCAGGCTGGAGTACAGTGGTGCTATCTCACCTCTGCCTCCTGGGTTCAAGCAATTGTTTTGCCTCAGCCGCCCAAGTAGCTAGGACTATAGGTGCACACCGCCACACCTGGCTAATTTTTTATCTTTTAGTAGAGACAGGGTTTCACTGTGTTGCCCAGGCTGTTCTAGAACTCCTGAGCTCAGGCAATCTGCCCACCTTGGCCTCTCAAAGTGCTAGGATTACAGGCGTGAGCCACTGCACGCAGCCTCTCCTTTCCTTTCTTGTTTTATTCCCTCTGAGTTTTTTCAGGAAGAGCTCTCTCAATAAATCACATTCTAGGCTCATCCAAATCCCTGTCTCAGGCTGTGCTTTTTAGGTAACCTACCTAAGACAGGGGTGAAGTAAAGCAGGAAAGAGGGACAGAGAAGAGAGCAGGAGGAGGGCAGGTGAGACTGATGTTTAAATAGGATGGTCAGGAAACTGGGGATCCTTGAGCAGAGACTTGAAGAAAGTGTGAGAATGAGCCATCAGGCTATTTGGGAGGAAAGTATTTAAGCAAAAGAAACAGATAGGGCAAAAGCCCAGACAGGAGTGGATCTGAGGAGTTCTAGTAAGAGCCAGGAGGCCTGTGAATCCAGAGTAGAGTGAGGCAGGAAAATGTCACAGATGAAGTCAGAGAGTCTTCTCAAAGTCCTAGATCACAGAGGACCTTGAAGGCCATTGAAAGGGCATTGGCTTTAACTCTGAATGAGGCAGCTTTGAGCAGTGGGGAGATGTGATCTCAGCTGGTTTCCTAGAGTCACCCCATTGCAGCCAAGTTGCCTGAGGCTATGCAGGTAGGGAAGTAAAGGATGCTGCAGCAATTGGAACCCAGGATTGCCTGATCTCAGAGAAGCTTTAACACACTCGCCTTTGCTGATGGAGCAGGAAGTGCACATCTGGCACATATGTTTAATACACAACTCCTGAATGCTGAGGACAGACACGATGCAGGGACTAGTTTCATTTAAAGGGAAGATAGACATACTTGTAAGTAGACCAGACTCCCCTTAAGCCTCCTTTGGCGAAAGCCTTCAATACTGGTACAATTGATTAAGAGAACAGTCCATACTTGCCAGCAGGTCCAGAAGTTTCTGGCTACATTGCAGTCCAAGTACCTCCCTAAACCTAAATAAGTGGCGTAATTTCAAGACAGAGAGTGGGAAGAGGAAAAACACTTGATTAGAGAGGTAACATAATGTAATGATTAAGAACAATGGGTGTAGAACAACAGGTTTGAAAACCAGCCCTGCCATTCACAAGCTGTGTGACCTTGGGCAAGCTACTTAACCTCTCTGTGCCTCAGTTTTCTCACCTGTAAAACTGTTGCTAGATACTGTGGCTTATGCCTATAATCCTAGCACTTTGGGAGGCTAGGAAGGCAGGATAGCTTGAGGCCAGGAGTTCGAGGCTGCAGTAAGCTATGATCGCATCACTGCACTCCAGCCTAGGCAACAGAGTGAGACTCTATCTCAAAAAAAAAAGAAAAATTGTAATTATACTAGTCCCCTCTGCATGGGGTTTTTAATAGAATTAAATGAGTTTACAGTGTCTGAAACATACTGTTTTGTTACTATTATGTTTTCTAGACATGAACAATTAAAGGACACATAAATGGTCATTGAAATCAAACAAATCTGCCTGTCAATATCTGGACATTAACTTACAAGTTTAATGCTTTCTATGTCACCTATATAACACAACACTAAACTATAAATGAGTGCATCTTCTTTCTTCCTACACTTCTAAAATATCATTTTACCTTTAGCTGAACAATTGCTCAGCTGCTTCTTATCAATGACTGTTTTCCAGGAAGGCTAATCATGCCTCACTGTAATCAACTCTGTGTGGGAACTCTCAAATGCTTCCCTTTGCAATTGCCACTCCCCTGACTGTGAGGAACACTGTGATTAAAAAGCATCTCAAAAATTCCATTTAGATGATGACCTCAGTCTCAAACATTATTAGACAGCTATGATTTACATTGCCTTCTAAGTTAGAATGTAGAGGCTTCCAACTTCCAAGTGCTCCTACAAAACAGAAAACAGTTCTTTGTGATGTTTTTACATGGGATTCTGTCAACTGGTTTTACATGAAAATCAGTGAAGTGAGCGGGAATTGGCCAGTATATGCCAGGCTCTGGGCAGGGTCCTTTACATATAATTACCTTATACATCTGTGGTCAGTGCCAAATGTGTGGCAGAGCTGGTCTTGATAATTCTGGAGCTCTGCTCAAAGACCACTAGAACTGAAGGTTAACTTGGATCACTGCTCAAGCAATATCTGTTTTTGCTTCTGCCAATAATTTCTCTCTATAGAACACTGAAAAAAGGGATTTGACTTTGGCTTTATTTTTTTTCTAAAGATATTCTACAATTAGGACAACGATGACAATATCTAGCGTCTGTTTTATGCATTCTCTGTCTCCAGCACTGTGCTAGCTGTTTTTCTATTGTTCTGTGGAAACTGTTCAAACAGTCCTAGACACATAGCCCAATTTCTAGTTAAGGTCACACAATTTGGAAGATCACTAATTTTTTTATATCCCTAAGCAAACCAATTTGGTAAACAAAAAGATCTCCATGTGGCTCCTCCAATCAAACATAGCAAAACCGGTTCTTCAATCAGTCTCCTACTGAAAAAAGCAATTAAATTTTTTTAAAAAGCAATTAAACTTAAGTTTGAAAAGAAAATTCCTATGTTTTTTCTTATATCAAATATTTTATAAACTAAGGCAGAGTTTGCTGATTATAATGGTGACTATGGCCCAAAGTCATTGGTTTTTGGGTTTTTTTTTCTTTTCATTTTTTGAGACAGTCTCACTCTGTCTCCCTGGCTGAAATACAGAGGTACGATCTTGGCTCACTGCAACCTCTGGGCTCAAGCAATACTCCCACTTCTTGGGAAGCTGAGATGACAGGCATACACCATCATGCTGACTAATTGTTTATATTTTCATAGAGGCAGGGTCTCTCTATGTTCTCTGAGCTAGTCTCGAACTTCTGGCCTCAAGTGATCCTCCCACCTCTGCCTCCCAAAGTACAGGGATTATAGGTGTGAGCCTGTGCCTGGCCTGTGGTTTTTATTCTTGACTTTGCCAGATTCCTTTGTCAGCACTTGAATAAGCCAGTTAAGCTATTGTGCTTATTATGCAAAAATTCTTTTTGCATTTCTAATCAAATGAATGCCACCACAATAAGATGTTTCCTGGGGAGTGCTCAGCAGAAGGATAAAACCCCTATGAAAAAAATGTTAATTGTAATTTTTTTTTCTATATTTGGCTGGTTTATGCTGCTGTCACTGAGCTAGGTTTTCATCTAGACATGCTAATATAGTATAGGTCTGATTGAAGCCTTCTTGTTTTTATTTACTAAAATAATGTGTCCAACTCCTTTTTCTTATTAGGAAAGTTTATTAACAGTGATACAATGAAAAATTTAACACTGACAGGAGCATATGTGTTTTAAAACACAAGAAATGGGATGAATCTCAGATTGCCTGGAAATAGTCCTTTAAATAAAAAACTTTTGAAATTTAAGAGATAACGGAAAAGTTAACAGGACACACCAGATGGCATTTTCACTCACCAAGATTAGAAATAATCATTCAACACATAAAAAGCTTATCAAAGGTATGTTTCACATTTATTTATATCAGAGAGAGAAAGCAGTCATTTTACCTTGCACATAAGAACAACTTATGAAATCATCTATATAACTAGAAAGGCATTTACTGTGTCTATAAAAATTCATAAAATGTCACATTAATTCATTCATTTATGGCAAACTCTCTTTTCACTAATATATTTTACTTTAAAATATATTTATTGGGTTTGGACTAAAATTACATTCAATTCAATGACAGTACTTAACATTTTCCCACTGCAATTATGTGAGATTTTCTGCTTTAAAGAAATTTTTTCAGTTACTTCCTTCAAACTATTGTGTGACTATGCTTCTCTTTGCAAACTATACAATCAGGAACCACTTTATATATTTTATTAAAGAGGCTAAAAATTTGCAAAAATTTAATTTTCATTTATAGTGGAAAGATTCAGTGAAAAACTCATAAAAATTACTTAAGGCATTACTAATGAATTAACATGAAATATTATCTCCCTAAATATTTTCTAATTCAATGCCAAACATACCATATGCATTATCACCATCTCCGGAAAGTGCTAATCCAGCTATATAAATAGAATATTTGTCTTAACACTTTTCTAATACAACCAAATACTTCTGATGCACCTGTTTTTCCTCCAGGCATAGACTGTTGAAGCTAGAAGGGGCTCCAGAAGGATCTAATCTGACTCACCCGCTCCTCATTAAAGTGTAGTTTTAAAAACCTGATACCAAGTCTCTCACATATAGGAGGCTTCTCAGAAAGGAAGTAAAGTTCGCAAACTTTACCTTTGTAAAATTCCCAGAGAATCTCCCACGGCGTTCTTCATTCCTTCCTTCCCGGGTTTCAGAATTTTTTCTTTGAAGGTATCAAATGCTTTAAAAGGCATTTTGAATGAGGGGCACCTCTGAGCCGTTAACAGTCAGTCTCAAAAACTGTCATCCTTTCTCATTTCCAGTGTGGGGAGCACCTTGTTTCCCTTGGCGAACACCTGGAAGTCAGTTCTCATGGAGGGAACCACTCAAAACCAAAAAGGAGATGAAACCCAGCCCAGATCTTCCAAGATGAGACAACTCCCTCCTCTCTCTGCTTTCCCACCCCTCCAAAAAGGAGGCCAACCGGTGTCTGGCTGGGAATTCAGCCCCTTGCAAAAGCTACACTCTCTGCAGCAGCCTGTGGTCGATGTCTAGGCAGCCACTCTCAGACTGAGCGCAGCCTCTCTCCCTCCCTAGGCTGCAGCTGGGGACGCTAGCGTGAGCTCTGGACCACCAGAAGTCCTGAGACAAGCAGCAGCATCCGTGGCCTAGCGCCAGTTCCTCCAGCCAGCCGCGTCCCCCTCCTGCCCCACCCCAGCTCGCGGGCGGCTCTCACGAAATGAGCCTTTCCAAGGTGATGCTATAGTAACCGGCACAATACCTGCCCCTCAGCCGCCTGGGCTGATGAATGGGCTCTCAGCCAGCGCAGGCACCCAGAGAGAAGTTTATGAAACATTTACAGTCCTCTGCTTTTCTGAGGTCTGGCCCTGCAGACAGGCTCACAGCCACCACTCCATGCTTTGTATTCCCCTTGTGAGAGACTTGCAGCCATTTTTCAGCCAGCCAGTAGCATGGATGTGGTCCTGGAAGGAACCTGCATTTCAGTTGCCCAAATGAAAAACCCAGGCCATAAACATCCAGGAGGACATTTATTTGCTCCTAATCAACAGAACAGGCTCTCTCAAAGTGTGATAGGTAGATGCCATTTGGGACCATTTAATTATCTCTGAGCCAGAAGATACTTAGAAACTGCACTTCTCATTGCCCTCAGGAGAAATAAAATTCTTTTTGTTTTTTCTCCTTTTCTCCCTCTAGATGGACTTTTTTTTTTTTTTACTTTAAGTTCCAGGATACATGTGCAGAACGTGCAGTTTGTCACATAGGCATACATGTGCCATGGTAGTTTGCTGCACCTATCAACCTGGTATCTAGGTTTTAAGCCGCACATGCATTAGATATTTGTCCTAATGCTCTCCCTTCAACCACCAACAGGCCCCAGTGTGTGATGTTCCCTGCCTGTGTCCATATGTTCTAATAATTCTGCTATAAAGACACATGCACACATATTTATTGTAGTACTATTTACAATAAAATTCTTTATCATGGCACCCAAGGCCTTTCCCTGGGACCCCGTCTTTCTTCTTGTCACTCTGCTTTCCACATCCTCCTATCATCGAACTCAGCAAGCTCCCTTTTGCCTCTAGGCTTTTCTCAAGCTATACCCTCTGCCTGGGTAACTCTCTGCACCCCTTCATCTGGGTAACTTCTAGGGGGTCTCAAATCAAACAAAGACATCATATCCTCTAGAAAACTGCATGGGCAAGGTGAGGTGTCCCTCCTCTGTGCCTCCAAATCACCTGTCCTCTGCCCCAGCAGGACCTGGCAAAGAGTGGGCATAACGTAAATACTTGTTGAACTGGGGCTGAAACATTGCACATTGTGGCCACATTTATGGGCAGCAGGATGACACCTCTGCGAATGCTGCTGGGGTGGAAAAATACTCTTCATCTTTGAGGCTCCTGTGTTCCAATCCCCCAGTCTGCATGTAACTGACAAATCATAGGCTGTAGGCTCTCAGCCTCCCCGGGAGTCAATTCCACAAGACCAGTCAATATCCTCTGCAAGCCACTGTCCAAATTCTCCAAGATTTGAATTAAGTTCAACTAAGTCTGTGCTGGATCCTTGGTAGGCTAACTATTGCTAATATCTATTGAGCTCTTTCTAGGGTCTCAGCTCTGTGTTAAGTAAGCACTCTTTAAGTATCACCACAATCTTCCCAGCATGGCTTTATAGTAAATAACTTATTTTCCCCAATTTTACTGGCAGGAAACTGAGGCAAAGAGAGGTTAAACTTGTCTGAGATCATACAGCAGCAGACCCAGGTTCCAGATCCAAATAGCCTGGCTGCAACCATTTCTCATTCATTCTGTCTCTCTCTCTCTCTTTCAATCTCTCTCTCTACCCCTCCCCGACCTTCCTCCCTCCCTACACACACTTTACTGAGATGTATTTTGCATTTCAAATAATTCACTCACTTCACTTCAAGTGGACAATTCAGATTCTTATAAATTTACCAAGTTGTATAACTGGATGTTTTAGAATATTTCCACCCCAAATAGACCCTTCATTTTCACTGTTAATCCTCATCTCTCATATCATATCCTCTCATACCTGGTATCTCTCATACCAGGATACCACTAATCTACTTTCCACCTCTAAAGATTTGCCTTTTCTGGACATTTCACATAAATAGAATCATACAATCTATGGTTGCTTGTGTCTGGCTTCTTCCACTCACTATAATGATTCTGAGGTCTATCCAGTCACAGCATGTATCAGTAGTTTGTTCCTTTCTTCTTTTTAGTTGAGTAATGCTTCATTGTAAGCATATACCACATTTTTGTTTCTCCGTTGACCTGTTGATGGACATTTAGGATAGTTTCTAAAAGGGCAGTTGCTTCTACAAAGACAGTTTCTGGTCACCAACCTTCCCATCATAACCCCTCAAGACAGAACATGAAGGTCTCAAGAATCCACAGTCTAATCACTCCACCAAGTATTTACCTGTGTTTCCAATTTCTGAATATTATAAATAGGACTTATGAATATTTGCATACAAGTCTGTGTGAACATATGTTTTCATTTCTCTCGAATAAATACCTAGGAGTAGAATTGCTGGATCATAAAGTAAATGTATGTTTAGCTTTTTAGGAAACGAACAAATTATTTTCCAAGTGGCTACAATAATTTACATTCCCTGCAGCATGCAGGTGGGGTCTCATTTCTGCACATCCTTGCTGTATTTGTTTTCTTTTTTGGTGTAACCAATCTAATGAGTGTAACATGGTATCTCATTGTGGTTTTAATTGGTGTTTCCATGGTGACTAGTGACCATCTTTCCATGTGCTTTTTATCTATTCATATTCCTTTTTGGTAAAATTTTTACGCTTTTTTTTTTTTTTTTTTTTAGACAGAGTTTTGCTCTTTTTACCTAGGCTGGAGTGCAATGGTGCGATCTCAGGTCACTGCAACCTTTGCTTCCCAGGTTCAAGTGATTCTCCTGCTCAGCTTCCCAAGTAGGTGGGATTATAGCTGTGTGCCACCACAATCAGCTAATTTTGTATTTTTAGTAGAGACAGGGTTTCGCCATGTTGGCCAGACTGATCTCGAACTCCTGACCTCAGGTGATCCACCCGTCTTGGCCTCCCAAAGTGCTGGGATTACAGGCGTGAGCCACCACACCCAGTCTTCAGCCCATTTTTTTAAGTGGGTTTTTATCTGTTGGATATTGAGTTACGTGAGTATATATTCTGGATACAAGTTCTTTATCAGATATGTGTTTCAGAACTATTTTCTCCCAGTCTGCTGTTTGTTTTCTCATTTTATTTATTCTGCATTTTGGAAATGCAAACATTTTGAGTTTTGATTTGGTCCAATTTATTCATTTTTTTCTTCTTTTATGGACTGTGCTTTTGTTGTTGTATCTAAGAAATCTTTGCCTAACCTGAAGTCTCAAAGATGTTCTATGTTTTCTTCTGTAAGTTTTATTGTTTTAGCTCTTATACTTAAGTCTATGATCTATTTTAGTTTATTTTTAGGCTGGGCACAGTGGCTCACATCTGTAATCACAGCACTCTGGGAGACTGAGAGGATCACTTGAGCCCAAGAGTTCAAGACCAGCCTGGCAAAACACAGTGAGACCATGTCTCTACAAAAAATATGAAAAAGTAGCCAGGCGTAGGGCCATGTGCCTGTAGTCCCAGCTTCTCAGAATGCTGAGGCAGAAGGATCCCTTGAGCCTAAGATGTCGAGGCTGCAATTAACTGTGACCGTACCACTGTACTCCAGCCTGGGCAGCAGAACAAGAACCTGTCTCAAAGAATATTTTTTTAATAGTTTATTTTTATATATAATGTGAAATAAATATCTAAGTTCATCATGTGGATATCCAACTGTCTCAGCATTATTTGTTAAAAATATTATCCTTTCTTTAAGAAATTACCTTGGCAACTTTGTCAAAAATCTATTTACTATAAAGATTTATTTCCAGACTATCAGTTCTGTTCTATTCATCTATTATCTATAAGTCTTTTTTTTTTTTTTTTTTTGTGAGACAAGGTCTGACTCTGTCACCCAGGCTGGAGCACAGTTGTGTGATCTCAACTTACTACACAACCTCCACCTTTCAGGCTCAGACCATCCTCCCACCTCAGCCTCCCAAGTAGCTGGGACTAGAGGTATGCACCACCATGCCCGGTCAACTTTTGTGCTTTTTGCAGAGATGCTGCCAAACTGGTCTTGAATAAACTCCTGGGCTCAAGTGATCCATCTGCCTTGGCCTCCCAAAGTGCTGGGATTACAAAAGTGAGCTACCATACCCAGCCCAATGTATCTATTTTTATGCCAGTACCACACTGACTTGACTGTAGCTTTATAGTATATTTTTAAATTGAAAAATGAATGTCTTCAATCTTTGCTTTTTAAAATTGTTTTGCTATTCTAGATCTTTTTAATTTCCTATAAATTATAGGAACAACTTGTTCCTACTTCAGGATTATTTTATTTCTTTTTAGAGATGGGGGTCTCACTCTGTTGCCCTGGCTGGAAAGCAGTGAGTGGCTTGATCATGGCTCACTGCAGCCTCAACCTCCCAGGTTCAAGCAATCCTCCCACCTCAGCCTCCTATGTAGGTAGAACCACAAATGTGCACCACCATGCCCAGTTAATTTTAATTTTTTTTTTTTTGTAGAGACAGGGTCTCACTCTGTTGCCTATGTTGGTCTTGAACTCCTGGGCCTAAACAATCTTCCTGCCTTGGCCTCCCAAAGTGCTGGGATTACTGGCGTGAGCCACCGTGCCTGGCCCTCAGCTTGTTCCTAAACACTTGATTTTCAACAACAAAAAAATTCTGCCTAGCTCTGGCTTTTAAAAACATAGTTTCTGCTCACCAGCCTTCCCATCATAACCCCTCAAGACTGAGAACGGGGGGAACGATCCAAGATGGCTGATCGCTAATATCTCGGGATTGCAGCTCCCAGTGAAAGAGCGGAGAACAAGAGGACGCCACACTTTCAGACAAATTTTTGTCGCTCACAGAGCAGAAGATTCCCAGTGAAGGAGCCGCACGGGTCGCCAGGGCGACTCTTGTGGCCGGTGCAGCGGTTTTGCCGGCACCTCAGCGTGGCAGCTCTTGGTGCAGAGTAAACGAGACTGGTTCCCCTTCTGACCAAGGTTTGGAGCTCCGGGAAGGCAGAGTCGCCTATTACGGACTCAAGAAGGAAGCCAGATTGGAGATTCCCAGGCAGAAAAGCACCATCAGTCTTAACACCGCTGTTTTGGCCCGCACGGTGGGTTGCTCATATTTCGGCCCTGGGAATTAACAACTTGGACATCCACTCAGAGGCCTAATTTGAAAGTTGGTAATTACAAAGATGACAGGTGGATAAATTTACAATGATGGGAAGAAACCAGCGTAAAAAGGCTGAGAATACTCAAAATCAAAATGCCTCTCCCTCTAAAGAGGATCACAGTTCCTCATCAACAAGGGAACAAGGCTTGATGCAGAACGAGTGCATCCCATTAACAGAATCAGGCTTCAGAAGATGGATAATAAGAAACTTCTGTGAGTTAAAAGAACATGTTGTAGCCCAATGTAAAGAAACTAAGAACTTTGAAAAAAGGTATGAGGAAATCGTAATGAGAATAGACAACTTAGAGAGGAATATAAGTGAATTAATGGAACTGAAGAATACAATATGGGAACTCCGAGAAGTACGCACAGGTTTAAACACTTGAATTGTTCAAGCAGAAGAAAGGATATCAGAGGTTGAAGTCCAACTTAATGAAATAAAACGAGAAGACAAGATTAAAGAAAAAAGGATAAAAAGGAATGAGCAAAGTCTCCAAGAAATGTGGGGCTATGTGAAAAGACCAAATTTACGTTTGATAGGTGTACCTGAATGCGACGGAGAGAATGAATCCAAGCTGGAAAATATTCTTCAGGATATTATTCAGGAAAATTTTCCTAAACTAGCAAAGCAGGACAATATTCAACCCCAGGTAATACAGAGAACACCACAAAGATATTCCTCAAGAAGAGCAACCCCAAGGCACATAATTGTTAAGATTCACCAGGGTTGAAACGAACAAGAAAATACTAAGGGCAGCCAGAGAGAAAGGTCAGCTTACCCACAAAGGGAAGCCTATCAGACTTACAGCAGATCTCTCAGCAGAAACTCTACAGGCCAGAAGAGAGTGGGGGCCAATATTCAACATCCTTAAAGAACAGAACTTTCAGCCCAGAATTTCATATCCTGCCAAACTAAGCTTCACAACTGAAGGAAAAATAAAATCTTTTATGAACAAGCAAGTACTCAGAGATTTTATTACCACCAAGCCTGCTTTACAAGAGCTTCTGAAAGAAGCATTACACATAGAAAGAAACAACCAGTATTAGCCTTTCTAAAAATATACCAAAAAGTAAAGAGCATCAACATAAAGAAGAATTTACATCAACGAATGGATAAAACAGCCAGTTAACATCAAATGGCAGTAATCCTAAATTTAAATAGACTAAATCCCCCAATCAAAAGATACAGCCAAAACCCAACGGTATGCTACATCCAGACCCATTTCACATGCAAGGATACACAAAGACTCAAAACAAAGGGATGGAGAAAGATTTACCAACCAAATGGAGTGCAAAAATAAATAAATAAATAAAAAGCAGGAGTTGCAATTCTTGTATCTGATAAAATAGATTTTAAAGCAACAAAGATATAGTGGTAAAAGGATCAATGCAATAATAAGAGCTAACGATCCTAACACCCAGATACATACAGACTTAGACTCAATGAGACAGAAAATTAATAAGGATATCAAGGACTCGAACTCAGATCCGGAACAAGTAAACTTAACAGATATTTATAGAGCTCTCCACTTTAAATACACAAAATATACATTCTTGTCAATACCACATCACACCTACTCATAGATTTAAATGAAATATTGATTGGCCATTATTAATACCCATTTTTTTAGAATAAATCAACATTTCCATTCTCTCTCCCTCTTTTTCTTCCTCTTTCTTCCTCTCCTTCACTTTTTTTTTCTTTCTCTCAAAAAAAAAAAAAAAAAAAAAGACTGAGAACAGGAAGTCCCCAGGAATCCACAGTTCTAAACATTCCATCAAGTATTTGCTTGACTTCAAAAAGCTCACTCATTCATTAAAAGCAAATACACAATAAAACATGATAAACATTCTCTCTTACTGAAGGCATCCACTGGTGGAGCTTCTAACCCATTCCTCTAGCTTAGCATACCCTTATGTTCCTTATCTCTTAGAGCACATAATGGAAGCAATACCAGGCAAAGACCACATCCATCTCTCCTGAGGGTCAATGACTGCTGAGAGGACTAACCATTCCTGCAGAATGTATTGCTCAGGAAACATACCTAGATCTGGAGTTTCTTGGGTAATTTAGATGTTGGATAATAATATTTACAGAGAATTTTCTAGGTGCCAGACGTTAAGCATTAACATGCATTAACTCACTTAATTCCCCACAATGACCCTGAGGTAGGAATGTCATTATACCATCCACAGATAAGGAGACTAAGACATACAGAGGTGAAGTAAACTTCAAGTTCACACACCTAGGAAACTGAACAGAGACAGGATATGGACCCAGAAAATCTGGGAACAGAGCCTGTACTCTTACCTTCTACAGTAGAATTGTTGATAATAGAGACTAAAAAAATATAAACCAAGACTGTACAGAACTGATGCTCATTTCATTCATTTATTCATGGCTTCCTTTTCTGAAGGACCTACCTGGTAGCAGGCCCTTCTTAGGCACTGGTGATATAGGTTGAACTGTGATATTCCCCTTGAAGAAACAAACCAACCAGAAAATGAATGAGTCATTCACAGTGCAGTGAGACCCACAAGAGAGAGCTGGGGGAGCATAAATAAGGACACCTATCTGAGCCTGCAGATGGGAATGGGAGAGGGCTTCCTAGATGAGGGGAGGATAGTATAAACCATCAGGGTGGAGAATGACTGAGGCAAACAAAATGAAAAAACAGGGGAGCAAAGACATGCATGAGACAGCATGGCATTTGGGGGGAACCTTGCATAGTATCAGAGAGTCAGGTAGGAATGCCCACAGGGCAGAAAACACAGCTGGACTGATGATCTTGAGCACTATGCAATTCAGTTGTTTCAGAAGAGCACTGAAACATGTGCTTCCCTATTCACAATAGCAAAGACATGGAATCAAACTAAATGCCCATCCGTGACAGTCTAAATAAAGAAAATGTGGTATATATACACTATGGAATACTATGCAGCCATAAAAAGAACAGCATTATGTTCTTTGCAGGGACATGGATGGAGCTGGAGGCCATTATCCTTAGCAAACTAACACAGGAACAGAAAACCAAATACTGCATGTTCTCACTTACAAGTGGGAGCTAAACCAAGAGAACACATGGACACAAAGAGAGGAACAACACACACTGGGGCCTGTCAGAGGCTGGAGGGTGGGAGGAGGGAGAGGATCAGGAAAAATAACTAATGGATACCAGGCTTATTACCTGGGCGATTAAATAATCTATACAACCAACCCCCATGACACAGGTTTACCTATGTAACACACCTGCACATGCACCCCTGAAATTAAAAGTTTAAAAAATCAAAGGAAAAAAGCAATGACAATAATTCAACAAATAAGGAATCTCAATAAAGACAAAACTTTTTAAAAAGAAAAAAAAAGAAACGTGGTCCCCATCTCAAAATATCAAATATAGCAAAGATATGAAATTATGTGCAGTGTGGCACTCCCTATAGGGGGCGTGAAACAAAAGCCTGGGTCTGTGCTGGGGATATATAGACGTCTTGCAGATATAGTAGAAAAAAATCCCCACCATTGCTATATATTTAATGACTTCCCATCGTCTTATACTAAAAACACCTCTTCCCTTAGAGAAAATAATATAACTAAGGCATCTTTAGGGGTGCTTTCCCAGATCAGAGCAATTCTTCATTTTTAGGGAATTTCCAGTGTCCCCTGACCCCTCCCTCTCATAGTGACAGGTCTCCAAAAGTCCTGTAGTCAACTATGATGTCTCCCATCCTCCTGAGCACTGTTGAATGGACCAGGGTAGGTACCTGCACAAACCTGAACCAGTCAGAGGTGAAATTCTCCTAGTTATTTATTTAGGTTACTGAGACAGAGTCTCTCTCTGTCACCAAGGCTGGAGTGCAGTGACACAATCTCGGCTCACTGCAACCTCCAGCTCCTGGGTTCAAGCAATTCTCCCACCTCAGCCTCCTGAGCAGCTGGAATTGCAGGTATGTGCCACCATGCCCTAATTTTTTTTTTTTTTAAATAGAGATGGGATTTCACCATGTTGGCCAAGCTGGTCTCAAACTCCTGACCTCAAATGATCTGCCCACCTCAACCTTCTGAAGTATTGAGATTACAGGTGTGAGCCACCGCACCTGGCCCTCCTAGAAATTTAACTTTGAAATTGCAAGACTGCTAGTTAATCTTGCAGGACTCTGGAACTATAAGGTGGTTACATTAACTTTGTGGGGTAGAGATGCAGAAAACACTGGTCTTGGAAAAGAGAAATAAAACGATGAAACTAACAGCGTGAGGGTATAGGGTGAGGATGTTTCTCATGGCCTTCCAGGCCTCATCTGCCTAGACTCAGTTGTCCTTTTATCCTTGGGTTTCATAAAATACTCACATTTTTATAACAAATTGCCCAAGATAGTTTCTGCTCCTTACAAACAAAGAGTCTTTACTATTGCAATGATTAAAAACCCAAATCCTGTAATGCCAAGTGTTTCTCTACCTTAGATTGGTGAGCCTGACTGCCCAGTTTGGTGATGTGCAGGACTCCAGTCTGCAACAGCAAAACAAGGAGAGCTGGTTGTGAGATAGGTTGTTCTAATCTGCCACCTACACAAAAAAAGAAAAAAAAGAAAAAAGGAAACCAACAAATCCCAAACAAGTAACTCAAAAAGTTACTTGAGAAAATTATTTCATCAAATCCAAACAAAGTGTTAGATGGAGAATTTTAACCAGGATCAGAGAAAATGACCAAATGATTCACCCTTTTCGATAAGAGACTTCATAAGGAAACAAAAGTAATAAAGAGAACTGGTCATTTGGGGTTCCTTCTCTCTTAAATTCTGTGGCAGTTTTTCCTGCCAACCCTATTCCTTAACCCAACTCCATATTCCTCCTTCTCACCCCAATAACATCCTGAGACAAACATAAAAATTTCTTTTATCCAGGACTTCTCTCAAGCCTTTAAAATTTGTATATTGTTAACTATCATTAGTATTAACCAAAATATACATAAAACTTGATTTTTTTCACTGAACTCCCATATTTGACATTAACTCTTCTATTGATAGTCAAGCTTATATACAAAGTATTTTCAAATATCTCATTTGATTCTCACTATAACCTTATGAAAACAAATAAGCAGATAAAGAAATAAAGATGCTAATTTTGCCCAAGGTAACCTGGCCAGCAGAATTCAGAGAGCTGGGACGAGGTCCTAAAGACCATTTCCTGAACTTGCACCACCATGGTACACAATACATTGTGATCCTATCTTACTCTGAGTAGTAAAGAGTGTCTTTAATGTAACTCAGGAAAGATACAATCAGAATCCTTTTGCTTTTAGAAACTTTATTGAGCACCTAACTATAGACACTCTTGTCCTAGCTACCATGGAAATTTTTAGAATAAAGTATGAGTGGGACACAGTGGTGTGTGCCTATAGTCCCAGCGACTGCTCAGGAGGCTGAGGTGGGAGGATTACTTGAGCCCAGGAGTTCAAGCACAGTCTGGGCAACATAGCAAGACCTCATCTCTGAAACAATTAACTAGGGTAACATATTGGTTAGTTAACATAGGGTAATTAATTAGGGTAACATATTGATCTCTCTCTCATTAAAATGTTCCACTGGAAATTAGGGAAAATTAAGAGCAGAGTGAAGAGAAATTCATATCAAACACTGATATACTACTGGCCTCTGGATTAAGATTGCCAGCACCCACCCCATCCTGGGTAAGACTCCCCTTCTAAGGGAAGGCTAATGGGAACCTTTATCCCATTCTATTATAATTGCTTCTATATCATCTTTATGACTTGCATTTCATGATCATTTTATTCTCACAAAGTGTATATGACAAAGTAGAATGACCAAATTGATATTACCTCCATTTTACACATGAGCAAACTGAGGCTCACTCAATAATTTGTTCAAAATTATAGTTATTGGTGGAGCTGAGATTTAAACCCACCTGATTACAAATGTCACTTTATTTTTACAGGCTGCTTCCAGTCCATAATGAAACACTGTTAGTCCCATTAATTTCAGCTCACTGTAAGCCAGCTACTCAGTTAATTCGGAGTTCAATTAATTTGGCTCTAGTTTCCTAAATTATAGGATTTTTATGCCACTACATATAAAAGACATCTCTATAATACTTTGCAAATATAAAGATGCGTACTTGGAGACCCTGGAAACACATCAATATCCATTTTCAGTCTGTCACTGTAACTGCCTAAATATTGGGCATCATTCATTTTCTTCCCAAATATATTAAATGAAATTTTAAAAGAAATGGCCAGATAACCAAAAATACAGAAATTTAGGGTACTTCTACACAGCATGTAATCATTCATCTAAGTATTTCACATACCATAAAAGTCAAGAATTTGGTTTGAACCTGAATTCCTTATATTTATGAAGAACTTTTATTTTCACTGTTCCTATGAACCTTATAACTACTTATAGAAAGAACTATGTTGAGGTGACTACTCCACTTTATTGTTGAAGCCCAGGGCATAAAGAAGGCCAATGATGCTTTGAGGTCAGGCAGAGATACGACAAGAAGTCATACCCATGTGCTTATTTGCTTGCTGCCATTGGGTTGCCTATAACAAATTATTTCTCATTTCATCCTGGAGGATCTCTCTCCTCAAGGTAAGGTATCTTATCCCAATATAAGACACTCAATTATCCATTTTTTAGTCTGTTTTCTGACTATAAAGATAATGAAATTGTTATTTGAAACAGACTCTTGTTCTGTCACCCAGGCTGGAGTGCAGTGGCACGATCTCAGCTCACTGCAACCTCCACCACCTAGGTTCAAACAATTCTCCTGCCCCAGCTTCCCAGGTAGCTGGGATTACAGGTGTGTGCCAGCACCCCTGGCTAATTTTTTAGTGGAAATGAGGTTTCACCATGTTGACCAGGCTGGTCTCAAACTCCTGACCTTAAGCAATCTGCCCGCCTACGCCTCCCAAAGTGCTGGAATTACAGGGTTATTTATTTTTTTAACATGTGTTACTACCTGTGTGCTCCAAAATCCCCCCTTTTGAGGAAATAAGGAAAGACTGACTCCTTTTACTCGTTATTATTGCAGTGTGGAAACACTAGATTTACTTTACGCACTATGCTTAGTGACTTGTGTCCAAAACCAAAATATCCTAGAAAATCTGGTAATCTGTTAAATACAGTTGTATCTTAATAATGCAAACTGAAATGTTGAAAGGTCAAGACCAGAGATAATACTGAAAGATTTCTTACCAACTTCATTGTTCATGAAGGTGCAGATAGAACCCTGAGTGTCCAGATAATTTTAACATATAGAGCAGTGAACAGGGATGATATCTGGAGGGTTAAGAGTCAAGGCAGGACAAACCCACACACTGTTCATAAGGATATCTCATGAGGTGCCCTCCTTTTGTAGATGCTACACCAAAAGGCAGATACTCTTACCAATATCTTCCCTCGCTTATTCATGTTCAAAAAAAAAGCACCTGTATAAGGGCTGCTGGAATGGATGATTACTTGGGAGAGAGTGACATCTTCTGGTGGTTTACAGACTAAATACATTTATAGCAGACATTTCCCCACACAACTCCAGAATCCAGCCACTGTTTTAAAAAATTTATGCTATATACATTAAGCCCCCAACTGTGGATTCTTAAATTTCTAAAATATTCAAGAAAATATAAACCATCTAAAAAATAACATTATACCTCACTCATTCTGCTTCTTGCCTTGCTGTCATCTCTGGCTCTAATAGAAAATATTTTAAATAAGTGACACTTTTTCCTTTTTGGTCTTTCTCCACGTGTTCTAATTTAGGCAGCTAACATTAATTCTGCTTTTCTTGGTCATCAAAAATTGATCAGATTTCCCTTAATTTGAGAAGTTTTCATATAATCTCAGAATTCAAAAGGACTTTGGGAGTTACCTACTCTAATCCACTCCTCAATAGGTCAAACTTAATTTGGGAAAATGTGACCTAAGTAATCATTTGGTAGCACCAAAAACAACAACAGAAACAGTAAAAAGGTTTACAAAGGCTCTGTGCGGCTCAGCTCAGGCCCTGTCTCCTCTAAGCTTTCCCGACTGTCTAGTCTACATTGTGTGTCCCTCCTACATGGATTTTGTTCACAGCACGTTTCACGCTGTTCTGCAACTATCTGCTTACTTGACTACCTTATAACTACCTGCAAACTCCCTGAAGGCAAGGCATGTACCTCATTCCTATTTGTGTCCCAAGAATCTCACAGTGCCAAGCCTATGGCATTTTATGGCTTTGTTTCATTTATGTGTTTACTGACAAATAAGTGCATTCAAATGGTATCAGGTGAAGTTTTTTACTCTGTTGTCCAGGCCAGAGGGAAGGCAGTGGTGCGATTTCAGTTCACTGCAACCTCCACCTCCTCGGTTTAAGCAATTCTAATGCCTCAGCCTCCCGAGTAGCTGGGGTTACAGACATGCACCACTACGCCTGGCTAATTTTTGTATTTTTAGTAGAGATGGGGCTTCACCATGTTGGCCATGCTGGTCTCAATCTCCTGACCTTAAGTGATCCGCCCACCTCGGCCTCCCAAAGTGCTGGGATAACAGGCATAAGCCACAGCACCCGGCCAGGTGAAGTATTTTTCATTAAAGCAGAGCTTTAGAGATCTATATCCATCACAAAGTGACTGGAAAAATCTACTGAGCACTTACTATGTGCCAGGAGCTGTGTTAGGTGCTTTGTACACTTATACCTCATCTAATCCTATAACTTCCCCCCCACCCCGCCCTGCCCTGTAAGGTGTGATCTTATTTAATAGCTGGGGAAACTTATTCTGGTCAGTCAGTGAAAGAGACAAGATTTATTCAGTCCATGTAACTGTTTAAACTCTGCCTGATTCCAAAAGAGAATGTCTATGAACATAGATAAAAAACTTTTTTAAAAAGGAAGTCAGAGCAAAGAAGAAATAAGGATTTTTAAAAATCAGATAAAGCAGAGGGTAAGCATTGAATATTGCATACTATTATTGTCCTATACATTTGCTACAGGTAAATGGCAAATTTGGCTGAATGTCTTAGCTATCATTAGCTAATTTGCTACTTTATTCATACTTTAAAAGGTATGAGCAGGCCAGGCACAGTGGCTCAAGCCTGTAATCCCAGCACTTTGGGAGGCCATGGTGGGCGGATCATTTGAGGTCAGGAGTTTGAGACCAACCTGGCCAACATGGTGAAACTGTCTCTACTAAAAATAAAAAAATATGAAAAGAAAAAAAAAATAGCCGGGCATGGTGTCTGGCGCCTGTAATTCATTACTTGGGAGGCTGAGGCACAAGAATTGCTTCAACCTCGGAGGTGGAGGTTGCAGTGAGCCGAGATTGCACCACTGCACCCTAGCCTGGGTGACAGAGCAAGACTCACCCTCAAAAAAAAAAAAGAAAGAAAAAAGTAAGGGCAAACCACTTGCTTAGAAGCACATTTACTCCTGAACTAAAACCTGAAGTATCTCCAATGGGTCCTCAAAGCAGCTATTTATGTGAGTGAACCAGTTTCATCCCTGGCATAAATACTGTTCACAACACAGTCAAAAGCTACCTATGATGAAAGAAACCTGATGCACAGTCAAAACAAGGCAACCCAGGCACAAAGGTCTCAAGAGTGGGCTTAATTCAGAATTTCTGGATCAAGGAATGGATTGCTCAATTTTTGGCCTCCTCCATAAACATTTCTCAAAACAAGATTTTGCCCACTGGGCAACAGAGTTAAAGGCTGCTCTCTGACAAGTGCCTAGAGTATAGGTACTATTGCTGATTGAGGGAAGTTTCACATAATTACTGTAGCTAAAGACACAAGTAAGAACCTCCAATCTCTTATGAAACGTAAGCAGTCAAAAGAGGACACGCAGCTCAATGAAAGGCCTTTCCATCTCTTTACAGAAGTGATCTTAAGAGTGCCCATTGTTAGAGACAAGATTTTCTTAAAAACCATTTTGGAACAAGGCATGGCAGCTCACTCCTGTAGTCCCAGCACTTTGGGAGGTCAAGGTGGGTGGATTGCGTGAGCTCAGGAACTCAAGACCAGCCTGGGCAATGTGGTGAAACCCTGTGCCTACCAAAAAACAAACAAACAAAAAATACAGAAATTAGCCAGGTATGGTGGTGCATTCCTGTAGCCCTAGCTACACAGGGGGCTTTGGGTGGGACTTGAGCCTGGGAGGCGGAGGTTGCAGTGAGCCAAGATCACGCCACTCATTCCAGCCTGGGTGACAGAGCCAGACTCAAGAAAAAAAAAAAAAAACAAATTTGGATCTGTTACAACACACAAACAAATGTGCTAAGTACCCTGCCCCACATCTACAAAGTGATTACTACGATTTTAGTCTGAAATTAAAACATAACAAAACAAAGCACCTTTATCTGGCTCCAAACTTCACATACCATAAGCTTGTAGTGTGACCATGAATATGCCTCATATTTGAGTTTTGCCTGATCACTGTGTTCAAAAAGACTGGTAGGCTTAGGGACCTAGACTTGGGGCAAACCTATGTTTATTCCTACAATCAAACTCCAGACATTAAAGTCTCTATCTCATTTACCTTTATATAAAAGTTGAACACTGCCTTTACTAGCAACCAAGGTCACCACACAAAGGAACATATCCAAAACATAGGAAAAATGACAAAATTGGAACGGCATCCAATATGTGTATTTAATATAGCCAAACCATATTTCTTCTGTGGGCACTTTCAAAATAACTTTCAGAAAGTTTTAATATAGGATAGGTATACACAATTCCATATGGTTTTTGATAACAGTAGTATGACCATGGATATGCCTCATATGTGAGTTTTGTCTTAAGAGTCACATGGTCCCATTTTAAAATGACTTATTTTGGATTCAGGTGGTATCAGTGAGGGTATGGTAAAGAGACAGAAACCCCACACCAGACACTTGAACAGGTAAGTTTTAATATAGTATCTGCTAACTAGTAGAAGCTGGTTAATTATTTGTAGGAGCAAAAGAGTACTGTAAGGGGCACAGAAGTGGCAGGTAAAAGGCAAATATTACCTCTAGGCTGAAAGAATGTGGAAAAAAAAAACGAACTAAAGACCAAGAGAGGCTCTCTTACCCTAATCCACTCCCAAGCTGGAAATCAGATTTCTCTGGAGAAGGTGTGGTTTCTATATTCAGCCTGCCATGGGCAAGAAACCTGTCAGAGGGAATGGGCCACTGAGTGGGAAACAGTTGCTTGATGGAGTGGCAGAGCTGGCACGGAAGCAGCCTACAGGAGCTGCTCCACAGTGGCTCAGGATTGGAAGAAGGTAACCTGAGGTGCAGCTGGAGTTCCTCTATTTGGAATGCTAGGTTTTTATGGTGGATAAAGTGGAGAACCAGAACCATAAGTAAAGTGTCTTTCTACAGCTATTGCTTTGCAGTCTACTCTGGGGCCCTCATTTTGCCAGCTAGCAAAGGAGAAAAACAGTAGAAGGCAAGGCAAAGGATGGGTTTGGAACTGAGACCATAAGTTGATAATTGCCATTTTTCACTCCTTTGGTCACTAAGCTTCCATATATCTTCGCATTTTTTTTTTTGAGATGGAGTCTCGCTCTTTCACTCAGACTGGAGTGCCATGGTGCAATCTCAGCTCACTGCAACCTCCACCTCCTGGGTTCAAACAATTCTCCTGCCTCAGCCTCCCAAGTAGCTGGGATTACAGGTGGCCATCACCACGTCTGGCTAATTTTTGATATTTTTAGTAGAGATGGAGTTTCACCATGTTGGCCAGGCTGGTCTCGAACTCCCAACCTCAGGTGATCCACCTGCCTCGGCCTCCTAAAGTGCTGGGATTATAGGCGTGAGCCACCATGCCCAGCCTACATCCACATTATCTAATACAGCAGCTACTAGCCATGTGGCTCCTAAGTACCTGAAATATGACTACTCTGAGGCAAATGTGCTAAGTGCAAAATATACACTGCATCTCAAAGACTAAGTACCAAAAAAGATATAAAATGTTTGAGTTTTTCATATTAATTCCATGCAGAAATGATATTTTAGATTTTTTTTTTTTTTCTGAGACAGGGTCTCACTCTGTTATCCAGGCTGGAATGCAGTGGTGTGATGTCAACTTACTGCAACCTCTGCCTCCTGGGCTCAAGCAATCTTCCCACCTCAGCTTCCCAAGTAGCTGAAACTACAGGCATATGACACCACACCCAGCTAATTTTCTGTATTTTTTTATAGAAATGAGGTTTCACCATGTTACTCAGGCTGGTCTTGAAATACTGGACTCAAGATATCCACCCACTTTGGCCTCCCAAAGTGCTGGGATTACAGGCATGAGCCACCATGCCTGGTAATATTAAAATATATTAAAATGAATTTCAGGGCTGGGCACAGTGGCTCACACCTGTAATCCCAAGACTTTGGGAGACTGAAGTGGGCGGATCATTTGAGGTCATGAGTTCATGACCAGCCTGGCCAACATGGTGAAACCCCGTTTCTACTAAAAATACAGAAGTTAGCTAGGTGTGGTGGTGGGTACCTGTAGTTCCAGTTAGGAGGCTTAGGCAGGAGAATCTCTTGAACCTGGGAGGCAGAAGCTGCAGTGAGCCGAGATTGCTGCAGTGAACAGAGATCACAGCACTGCACTCCAGCCTGGGCAAGAGAAGGAGACTCGTCTCAAAGAAAAACAAAAACAAAAAATCAATTTCACCTATTTTTAATGGGATTACTGAAAATTTTTAAGTTACATATGTGGTTTTTACCCCTGGTAGTTAAATCCTTTCTGAGTGGCTCAAGCAACTTGGCTTCCTTGGATAGAAAAAGTTCCTAATCTTCAATAAGTTTCATCTTGGTGAAATGGATTTTTCAACTGCACTCCCTTCTTCCCAAGTCTAAAAGCTTTAATTCTGCTACATCTGGGTACTGCAAACACTGCTAACCCAGGTCCCCCAACTCTCCTCACTCATAATTCAAACCAGCAGCCCAGAGGCTGATTTTGACCACATACATTTCTGTCATCTCCCTCAACTCTCCCCTCTTCATAGCCATTTCTTCTCAATGTAAACATATTTATGATACCCAGTAAGTACTGAACACCTACTTGCTATATAAATCCATCTGAACAAAAGCACCTCCAGAAGAATTCATACAGTAACAGATGCAAGGTGGTAGAGAGCAGATTAGGAAAAAAATCTAACTTCTACTCCAGGCTCTGATTTTTTCTGGTTAAGCCATGCAAGCCTCAGGCCCTCTGTTTCTGCCTCTGCTAGGAGAGATAGGGCTGAATTCTCTTAGTTTTATTCAAACTAAGTCATAAAATCCTTTAGCAATTGTAATCAACTTTTTAAAAATTAATAGAATAAAAATAGAGTACACTACACCTATTAAAGACATTTCCTGAAACTTCTGTTTCGGGTATATATTTTATATAGCGGTTGCAGGGTAAAATGTCTTTCTTACTGAGTGTCACAGTTTGAAAGCCACAGATGTAGATAATCTCTTAAAATCCCATATAGTTTGAATTCCTACAGATTCATTTGTTCTAAAATTATTTCAAGACCAGTAAATCACAAAGTATGAAATCACAACTTAAAATGGAAAGTTTTATCAAAGCTAAAATTTATTTGGTGCATACTCCACTTGATATCAGGTATGTTCGCATATACCTTTCTCTTTCATGTGTAAAAACAACCATGTGAGGTATTTTACAGGTTAAAAAAAAAAAACCACTTCCTTATTCAGTGAAAAGAAGGCTTATAAGCATTCCA